CTTGTAGTTATTATTTGAGAGTACGATATGCACTAAATGCAAAATGTCACAAGAAAGTAGGTCAACCTAAATTGTATGTCTATAGCTGACCGCTTTAAATAAAAAAGATAAAATTTTGAGCAATTATTTTTCTTAAAAGGTCAAATCCTCAATCTCAAGAACCTCCATACCCCGACCCAACAGAGCATTTGGGAGGACGTAAATCATGGTAACTCAGTTGAACAAGGAGTCCCGAGCCCCTCTCACTTTGAGAGGTTACTTCCACACTGTCATTGGTAAGACTCGATATCTTGTCATTCTTTTCAAACTTCACCATGTGACCAACTAAGCTGCGGCTAAATTTGAGCAATTATTCTTCCCAAACTTCAGTCCTATGACCAGTTGAGCTGCCCATGCGGGCTAATTTAAGCAATTATTATTACTATTATTGGGTGACAAAGAAAATTTCTAGTCTATCTAAGAACGCGCATGATATGTAATAGTTTGAAATCTACATAGAAGAGGTAAATCACATTACGGGAATAACTTTTGGCTACTTACTTTACGTTTTAACTTTCTGGATATCTTTCTTAATTTTTCTTGTACTTTGAATACCAAAACTTCTATCCCTTCAATGGGGTCAAATAGTAGGACTAATAAGGGTAAATTACGTAGTACTTTCTATAACGTGGTATGTGCTCAAGAGAGTTTTATAGTATTTGACTCGTAGCCGTTATATATATAGACTCACAAGAATTATATTAGATGACATTCTTAACTTGATATTAGTTTTGCACATTAAGAATGAGAATCAAAATGAGTAAGTGTTTAGTAAATAATTTTTTAAAACACAATTATTAAATTTGATTACTTCTTCCATCAAAAATCTCATTTTCTAATTAAAAAATATATCATTACATCTTATTTGGTAATATGATTTTTTATGGTTGAATTAGTGTTTTTAAATGAGTTGTAGCATTCAAAAAAAAAAATGAATTGTAGTAACTAATTAAGCTGACTCATAAATTTTACTTGTTCAATCAAACAAACTCTCTAATATGGCATTATATTCAAAATAAGTACAAGTGTAGGAAGTGGGAACGTTGCATGCCACTCTTAGTTTTCAGCACTCGATCTTGAGATACAAAATCACTGACCACTCCAATTTTATACTACTAAACACCCCATTTGTATGACATTATATTGTGGACCCAACGTAACATTAATTTCATACCATTCTCTCTCTGATCTTCATAAAACACATTGTATTGCATGCACCCCAGCCACAAACCTCCGCTCGATCATTGTTTTGTTTTACCCTATACACTATGGCCCTGTTTGATAAAATGAAGGTTAGCTGATAACTGTTAGATGTTAGCTAATTATGTTAATTAGAGGGTATAAATAGTTGATACCATTAGCTGATTGTAGAAAATTGTTTGGTAAATTAGTTGTTAGTTGATAGCTGTTTTGTATAATTTCTTTTCTCAAAAAGCTAATTGAAAAAGTTGCTTGGAGTAGCTTTTTGAATTTTAGGCTTTTGAAGTTGCAAAAAGCTAATTAACCAAACATTTATATTGATATTTTAACTAAATCAAACAATTAATAGTGATCAAATAAGCTAAAATTTTTTTACCAAATAGGGCTTATATATTTGTTCCATCGGCTCATAATTATATTAATGCCATCAGCCAATCATCGCTTCATTTTTATTTCTATTTTTAAAAAACTCAAAAATAATAATGATTTGAGTTTATAATCAATCCCCAAATGCGAAATCATTTTAAGAAAACACTACATGTACTCCCACATACAAAATCTTGATATAGACACTTATATTGAGACTCACATGAAAAAAAATACCTTATCAAAATTTGTCACATTAGAAAGTAAGATTAGGGAGTACATGTAATAGAACTTTTAATTTTATAATATTGATAGTATTAATTCCCACGTATATAGGATGTATGTATATATGTACTATATATAATGTAGTATGTATGAACAAAAAGGAAGAAATATAGAGCAAATAGGCCTCTTTTATTCATGTTGTTCTTGTGTGTTTCTTTGTAGAGAGAAGGGGGAGAGGATGGTGCATATATATATATATAGAGAGTGATTTATGAGAATGAGGGGAGAGACCCTTAACTAGAAGGGCTACATGCCCTTTTATAGGCATAAGGATGACGGGTTTGACCCGTCACTTTTGATTTCGACGCGTAGACCGGGACTTGAATCTCTTGACCCCGACCCAACTATAAAACGAGAATTCGGACGTATAGGGAATTCGAATCCGGGATATATATCCTATCAAATATTATAAACTAAAATTAATTTGACACTATATATATTATATAAAATGAGGGAACTTGTAAATTAAAAAATAAAAAAAATATGAATACGAGTCATTTGTCTAGCTCATTTAGAACTTTTTCCTTTCACTGTTCCTGATTTCACAAAAATAAAAATTGATAAAATTTTCAGATTCTCTCAATAAGCCAGATATGTTATTCCTATTGATACAGATCCAACAAGATACATATATATATACGCTCGGATAAAAAATCATGCATATAGCTTGAATATATCAGCAAAGATGTAAAAGCAAGCCACTACAATCCCCTCTAGACATGGATTTGAACCATGACCTCAATGGACAATGTTGATTAAATGCACGTTAATTGCCTGATTTGCCTCAAATGGGTGCTTATTTATTATTGTGTATAGTAGCCATTGTCGCTTTACATAGGTTTGAGAAATCTCCATACTCCATAGTAGAGTTGTTTTATTAGTTCTAAGCTCATTACAACAATATCAGCTATGTATGAATAACTTTTGTGCCATCTTACCAAATCAGAACTTTTCATTCCATACTTTAATTTTAAAAACCAGGCAGGCCAAAAACGCATCTATTGAAAACACAAGTTTACATAGAGGATCAAATACAATTACATTATCACAACTATAACATTTATAGGAATCAGAATTCATATAATATGTGTGGCATATAGAATAGGATTGCCCTTATAAAATTCCAAATTTATTATATTATTTTATGAATAAGGTTCAAATTGGTCACTGAACATAACCTGAAAATGCAATTAGGTCACTGAACAAAAAAAAAAGTGCAATTAGGATACTGAACACTCAAAATGTATGCAATTTCACCTTATAGCAGGTTACTTGCTTACGTGACAACTGAGTTGGCATTTTTAATAATTTTAAAATATTTTATAATAAATTTTAATAATAAATTTTTTAAAAAAATAAATAATAAAAATAAATAAAACGACGCCGCCCCGTCGTTTTATTTATTTTATTTTATTTTTCAATTTTTTTAAATTTATTATTAAAATCCTATTATTAAAATTTATTGAAAGTTATTTACAAATTATTAAAAATGTCAACTTAACTGCCATGTAAGTAGGTAACCTGCTAAAATTGATAGTAACATGCTATCCAGTGAAATTGCATACATTTGGAGTATTTAGTGTGGCCTAATTGCACGTTTTTTGTGTGTTTAGTGGTCTAATTGTACTTTTTATTCTTTTTCGTTCAGTGACCTAATTACATTTTCAGGTTAGGTCAATTTGAACCTTATTCCTATTTTTTATAACATTTTCCTTAACAATATATATATTTTTAAAAAAAATCCACTTCACTTCTGAAAATATTATTAGCATTTTATCCCCCCAACAAAAAAAAAAAGTATTAGTCTTTTAAACATACGTCTTCCCAAAAGCAACACTAGAAGCATTCTTAAATTACCTTTGTACTCCATTCCCCCGAATGTGCAAAAATATAGCATAAAATTTCCTCCTTCGGCCACCTATAACGACAAAATACATTAATTAATACATATATGGAAAAAGAAAATTACAAAATACAATATAAAATGAAAACAAAAAAAAAAAAAAAAAAGTAATTATATAGACTCAAAACAAAACTTACACGAACCATTTTTCCTTCTCCGGTGATGTCTTTGGTGTCAAGATACTTCGATTTCGCGAATTTCGCGAATACTAAGTACTGCAACAACGTCTTTCATGTACGATTATTGAGATTTTTTAATTTTTCTGTCTGGATTTTCGATTGAATGCCTCATAGACAGATCCTAGGCGTACAATGGAGCTTCTGGTTGTATGAACTGTTTTCTGGAAGAATAGCGACTTGATGTTAGTTGGAATGGGTTTCTGGGTTTTATTATAGAGTTCTTAGGGGCCGGGGATGAATAGTATGACATTGTTGTCGCTTGGTAACAATCTTTTCAATGCTTCGATTCCACTAAGTTTTGGTGGCCTTAATCGGCTTGTTTATTTGGATGTAAGCAGCAACAATTTGGACATTTTTTAGGTCGTTATTGAATAGTGATAGTAACATGAAAAAACGATTTTATCCTTAGCTTGATATAAAGGGAAAATATTTTTATGATGAAAAATAGACAGAAATTTCACTATTCTTCTAAGAAAATGATACTTGTGAACTAACTATGCAAGTTACGAATCAACATCATTATAAACACAATATTTATGAGATTAAAAGTGCCCAAAAAAAAAAAAAAAAAATCAGTCTCTTCAATTTGTTAACCAAAGAGAATAAAAGAACACAGTTGAGGAAATCCATCAAGAAAAAGCAATAAAAGAAAATAAAGTTAGATATGCCAAAAAGGCAAAAACCACAAACAACTCAAAAAGTGTACGTTCAAGCAAGCACCACTATGGGCACACACTGATGTAGTCAAAATTTCCTCCAACCGCCACTTCTCTTCTCTACAAAGTACAAACAAAACCTCTCCTAACGCCACCACCGCTTCTCTTCCCTTCTGCCACCGCCGACACCGCTTCTCTAACGCCATCGCCGACACCGCTACAGCTGTCGCTACCCGCTCCTAATCGCCACTGCTTGCTCCGCCGCCGGACGCCACTGCTTGCTCCGACGCCGGACGCCACTGCTACCTCCTTCTGGTATGTATGTTTATACCAACTTTTGATGGTTGCATTTTGAAACAGTGTGTTTGGATTAGAAATGCTCACCAGTCAGCCTTACCCTGTTAGGTGCTCCATGAGGACTCTCACCAACCGCCGGGCTAGAGCCCAGCCAGTCAGCCAGTCAGCCACAGCCCATGCGTCGGCCTCTGCCACACCCAATTTGTGAGTTTACCCTTTCTTCTTAGTTCAAATATTTTTATATTTATATATAAAATTAGCTGCACATCTGCAAAAGATCCTCCTAGCTAAGCTGCACCAGATTAGACCTGCAAAAAATAGCCTCATTTCTGCAGTTAAACTGCAGATCAGCCCCCAAAAATCTGCACAGCAGATCAGCTGAAACAGCTTCATCTCTGCTGCCAGTCCCCAAGCAATCTGTATACCCTCAGGAACTGCCCAGAAACAGCCCATCATTGGGTTTAACCTTCCTTATTCTCCCTCATAGCACTCATTATCCTCATATCTCTTAATTTTCCAAGACCTAAGGTTTTTAATTTACACCTTGGACTTAATTCAAACACATCAAAACACCAAGGTAAAGCCCCAGAAACTGCAAGAGCCTCATCAGCCCATACAGATCCCCAGGGGTGCTCAGAAAGCACCCCAAACCTTCAATCATCCAATAGAATCAATGCCAGGGCCAAACACAAAGTGGGGAATACCCTCAAAGCAAAAGACAAGCTTCCCTTCTTCCAGAATCAGACATTCACCAAAGCCCTAGCCACAGCATTAACCCTTTCTCAGCATCTACTGCTTCTGAAAAACAATCCATCAGGTGGCAACAAGTCCTCCACCTGATCAGATTCAAAACAGACTTTCAAATCTTTTTCCTCCTACACAACATTGCTTCATTAAGACCATACAATCATTTAAATCATGCTCATTCAGGTTGAATTGACAAGATGCCTGCAATGCAGAATTGGCCTCTTGAATTTCTTGACAAATTAAATTTTATCTCCCCCAGACCTGGCTTACACCATCTTGCCCTTTGAGTTATCCTGCCACATCCAAACCCCTCAGCCTTCCTCACCATGAATTTCCAATAAGCCCATTTTCTAAGAATACAGTCACCCATGTCCTTAGACACTTTCTGGATAATTCTAGCAACTGAAGGGGTTCCACCACCATAGAACCAAAACTGGGAGTCTATCTGCCATGAAGGCCAACATTCTATTTTTGTACCTCTTATTCCACCACTCATAACAAACATGCCTTTCACTTCTTACCTGAACCCTTGCTCCCATTCATCTTGAGAAGAAATCCCATACCTGTCTTGCAGTTTCCCCAATGCCAAACAGTACAAATGTCTGCACCTTGAAACAATCTCATAACCCATGCCTCTTAGAATATCATCAACTGCCAATCTCCTTTTAAATACCCTCCAGGCCAGCATTGACATCTTCCATGGCAAACCTTTAGACCAAATCTTCTTATACCAGAGCCTTCCTTCCTCTCTTGGCATTTGCTACCTCAGGACTTCTTTGGCTGTTTTAAAAGTGAAATCTGATCCTGAAGGTTTCCAGATTAGAGTATCATCCCTATCTGTTAGGTCTAAGGTAATTCCCCAACCTGGATCTTGGATTCCCATTCTTGTCCAATTCAGAGCTCCATTTTCCACTCCATCCTTCAATTCATCCTTAGCTTTACTTTTTCCTCTTAAATTCAGAATCATGGCTTTGACTAATAAAAAATTCATCCTTAGCTCCATTGTTTTGATTAACTTTGATTAATAAAAAATTATTATTAACTTTTTTTAATATTCAAATTTTAGACGGGTCAATGCACGGAGTTTAAGAGTGTTGAGCGTGATTGTGGGGATGATGAGTGGTTTTCCACAACCATTCATAAGTAAGTATGATTTAAAATTATTTTAGATGTGGTATTATGTGCTTGCGTTGTATAAAATTAAACTTTTAACAGTGTGATTATTTTTAGGTGGATTAATAAACATGTCCGTGTATGTGTTTACCCTATCGACGTCGGCATATACCAATTCCAACCTGGCAGCAACATCAAACTTCTGTATATATACAGACAGTTTGGTGTTTTGGATGTATGCATTTGTCTATTTTGGGACAATCACGGGGTTAATCGTGGGCGAGTGGCTATGCGGGCTCAATTTGATTATTGGGCCCGTATTAGTAGCCACAGGAGCTGTTGTGTGCGCGCACTTTCCATACCTGGGTCTCCATGCATTCATGTATCTCATGATTGGACTAGGTGGTGGAATTGTTCGGGAGGTAATTTTTTTTTTTTTAAATTTTTTATCTAATACTTATATATTGTCCATGTATATATATATATATATATATATATATATATATATATATATTTTGTATATATACTAATTTGCCTACAACATTTGCAGGCTGTTCCGATACATTTCATCCAAATCTCTCCCGAGGGCGAGAGGCATACTTTAGACGTTTTGTTTGATATGTCTAATTTATTTGGGGGAGTTATAGCTAATTTAATAAATTTTATTATTTTTATTTTTAGATACTTTACAAAACTTTGGTGGGTAGGGTTTTATGCTTTAGTTTGTTTTGCATGTTTTATTTTGTTGGCATCATTAAAGATGAGGATTAGGGGAAATGAACCACGTAGACCCCAAATAGGAGGTTCAGTAACTAGAGGTGTCCTAACCAAGCTGCAAATGGCTATAGTACCTCACTTTATTGCTTTAGATCTACTAGTTTTTTTCGCACCTTCTGTTTTAGAGTCTTTTGGGGTATGGGTGGGTAATACCTTTATCCTAGTTTTAGTAGCTAGTATAATTGTATTTTCTGCGCACCTTCTGTTTTAGAGTCTTTTGGGGTATGGGTGGGTAATACCTTTATCCTAGTTTTAGTAGCTAGTATAATTGTATTTTCTGCGCACCTTCTGTTTTAGAGTCTTTTGGGGTATGGGTGGGTAATACCTTTATCCTAGTTTTAGTAGAGCTAGTATAATTGTATTTTCTGCGCACCTTCTGTTTTAGAGTCTTTTGGGGTATACCTTTATCCTAGTTTTAGTAGCTAGTATAATTGTATTTTCTGCGCACCTTCTGTTTTAGAGTCTTTTGGGGTATGGGTGGGTAATACCTTTATCCTAGTTTTAGTAGCTAGTATAATTGTATTTTCTGCGCACCTTCTGTTTTAGAGTCTTTTGGGGTATGGGTGGGTAATACCTATTTTCTGCGCACCTTCTGTTTTAGAGTCTTTTGGGGTATGGGTGGGTAATACCTTTATCCTAGTTTTAGTAGCTACGATTTTAATTCGTCTTTTCGCCTGCGCAGTCATAGTCTTGTGTCAGGTATTTTTTTTTTTTTTTTGAAAGTTATTGGTTCTATTACATTGTAGTTGTAGTATCTGTTCATATACTTTCTCAACCCACTGAAACACAAAGAACCAATAACGCCTCCACTGAGGCCCGAACTCATAATCTTCCAAATGGAAGTCCAACCCGAGTACCATTAGACCACATAGTCCTGGTTGTGTCAGGTATTTAATTAATTTAGTTTTAAGTTATTTTTATTATTTAGTAGATTAATTTCATTATTAATTTGTTATATCAATTTTTTGTTATATTGCAGTGTGTGATGATTACCATTTCTCGTGTTGCCATGACCACTAAAAAGCACCTTCAGTATCCATACACTATATATGCTGGCATAGATTTTATAGTGATTTATGTGATGCACAGGATAGTGAGTGGTCCACATGGATGGACCGCCATTGCATATCCTAGAGAGAGGGAAAGATCATGGCGTGCATGGGAATTGGTGCTGAGTCTTTCGCTCCAAGCCATCCTTCCTTCAATCATAGTATTGATGATTTGTGGACTACAGAAGTGGATTTTTGTATATATGACTTGTGTAGCTTTATTTTATTTTGGATATAGTTTATATTTGTAAGATGATGATGATTTGTATATATTCAGGCCAACATTTTCTCTCATATGCATCCCATCAATGCTTCCTTCTTCATGTATTCATATTCACCTATATTCATGAGTTAAGTTGTAAAAATTTTGGTTGTGCTGGCCTGGATACCAATTCCACTCATCAAAACCTTCCATCCATATTACTCTATCATCAATTTTCAAATTGCAAGTCATTGTCGGTAGGTCGGTAAACACTCAAACTCAAAATTGGATAACAAGTATCTATCGTTCAACTTCATAATTTCACATTTTCAAAACGAATTATCATAATAAAATGCTAAATAAGTTGAATATCTTAGCTTGCTGAAAATACACAAAAATATTTCATCAATTACTTCATATTATTTAACTTGTACACCTTATCTAATCAAATGGTCCATAAGTACACATGTATTGAGGTATAGAGTTATTTCTGAACATTTTTCCCTCACAAAAATACTCATACTATTATTCTGCTGAGATCTCATTTATAATTTTTTTCTGCTGATATGTTTATTATTCATTTTGAGAGAAATGTAGATGAAAACTGGGGGCCTTGTTGTCTGGAGTAAGAATGGTGCTCTGGTTGTTTATAGAGGGCAGAATTATCAACTAGGGTTCAGAAGAGAGTGTATCAATTGATGGATCACTCTATGAAAGAGAAGCTGACAGATTGTTGGATGGTTTAGGACCTCGTTTTGTTGACTGGTGGTATCCAAAGCCTTTGCCAGTGGATGCTGATTTAAGGATAAACATGTTTTTATTTTTATTTTTATTTTTTTTTGTCCAGATCACATCAAAAGGCACATTGACACAAATGGTTGGTGTACAATCTGAGGTTCGCGAAGATAATCTTGCTGCTCGCCCCGGGAGCATTGTGCAGGTATCTTTTCATGACTATTTCCTGTCTATACATATAAATGTTACGCGGTTTGTAGAAATATGCAGCACAGGACAGATCAGAATTCTTGTTTGTGAGGTAAATATAGCTGCACATTCATTACAAGCTAGCAGAAAATTAAACCAGAAATTGACCATACTGAGGCTACCTTGGTTGCAAATCTCAGGTTCCAGGAGCAACAAGATACTCCCTTGCTCTATATTACATGCTGAAAACTCCTCTAGCAGAAAACCCATTGCTCGAGCGCTTCGTCAATGGAGATGATGCCTTCAGGAACTCAAAGTTTAAGCTCATTCCATACATCTCTAAGGTCAGTACAGTACTTCTCTGTATCTATCTGCAATTCTGCAACCAATCTTTTCATTCTGAAACAAAATTTTCTGACTGTTTCTTTAGGGATCATGGATAGTGAAACAAAGTATGGGCAAGAAGTCATGCTTGATTGGACAATCACTTGAAGTGAATTACTTCAAGGGCAATTATTTTATGGTCATATGATGTGTTTAGATCTTCCATTTGCAGAAAATTATGATTCTAGAAAAAATTATTTCTTGGTTTTTCAGCTTGATGTAGATGTTGGATCATCCACAGTTGCAAGGGGTGTTATCAACCTTGTTCTGCGTTAGAATCTGTAATCTCAAGAGACGGGAAATTAAGTTGAGGAAAAGAAACTAATAAATTTGATCGAGCTCTAGTCTTGATGAATCAACTCCTTCCTTAAACTGGATGGTATATATTGTTGCTGAAGGTGATGTCAAATTGCAGGTACATACTTTGTATTTATTTGGTTTAGCATTTGATTTATATATGTTACCAGGAAAGAACAGAAGACTGCATATATATATATTTTTTTCATTTAGAATTGTTTGAAAAGTTTGTACAAGATCTGAAATTGTTGGAATTACCAAGTGAATGCCAATTACGGAGATCATTCAGTGTAATGTTGCATCTTCCTTTTTTTGGGTCTGTCTTTCAGATTAATTGGATTTAGCCTTCTTACCTTCAATCTACTATCTGGTGCTTGAGACACTACAGGCTACTGTCAAGGCAGGTTAGTTCTCATGCCCAAAATTGTAGTCTATGCTCACTTGGTGCCCAAAATAGCTTTACTATTTATCATATTTTCTCAAATGTCAACTTCTGTAAGAGATTTTTTAAATGTTTTTATGCTCTATTGTAGCTCCTCAACTATTGCCATCTGTGGAACCCATTCTCTCTCCTATCATCCTTAATGTGTGGGCTTCACATGTTTCATACCCTTTTGCCACCATTGATGCTCTTGAGGTTTTGGAGGTAGCTTTTTATAATCTTATTGATTACAAATGTGATTCACTCTGCACTCTGCATACTGCTTTTTTGATAAATTCCTTTAGTAATTGTGATTTTGGAACACATACCTTTTAATTTTTTTTTTTAATGTATTCTTAGTTTTAGTAATGTGAATCTGGGTTGCGGTTTCTTCTTTGCCCACTTGGTTCTAACATTGTTGTCCGAACAGCAAGGTGAGGTTTTACATTTCTTATTTATTATCTCGACTTTATATTTATTTTACAATTTGTTATCAGTACAATGGATGATTTTGTTGATGGTGATCCATTTCTATATGCTTAACCATATATATTAGTCAAGTGATCAATAAAACTCCTGATAGAAAATAGTAGAGCGAGCAATGAAATTATTTAATTTACTCGTATATATATAATACTAATTGCTAGAATTAGAATATTCCTGTTATGCAATTGAAGATTAGACAACACTTATTAATGAGGCTTCACTATGCATGGTATGGCTTCTGCAGCTGTTGTGTTGGTGTTGTTTTACCTGTTTATTCTACATTTAAGGCAATTGAACGAAGGGATCACGAGGAGCAAAAAAAATGGCTTATGTACTGGGCAGGTTGGTGGTGTTGTTGAATATTGTTGATGAATGTTGTAATGGGTCTCTTAGAACTAATGATGACTTCCTATTGCTTGCAGCTTAGCTTATGGATGTTTTAGCATGGTAGAATTGTTCACAGATAAGCTTCTTAACTGGTACATATTATTCCTGCTTTCCTGTCTCTGACCTTAATCTGTTGCCATCTCTTTTCAATATAATCTGCAGGTTTCCACTATATATACTATCATACGAAGTTTGCATTTCTTGTTTGGCTTCAACTTCCATCTATCGATGTAAGTCCGGCCAGGTCAATTCTGTCTTGTTTTTTGTGTTACTATATATATGAAACCTAACCAGTTGAGATTTGTAGAAGTTGGTCAGGAAATTTATGCATGGCTGCAGGGTGCAAAGCAAGTGTATAATTTCCTCTTGGACCATCAGGCTAAGCTTGACTGAATTGTTGGATTTGTATATGGTGAAATGGTAAATAGTTTACACATGCATTTGTGAGGACCAATTACCAAATGTGGAGGATGCATGATTCAGATTCTGAGGATATATGATGATTGAGTAAAGAGTTCTCAATCAAACTAGTGGGAGGTCCATGCACAGATCAGAAGGGCCAGGATCGGTGAGCCTTTCTTTCTTTAATTTCTTTCAATTTGTTTTAGCAGTTTGTTTACTTGAATTGGCTAATCACTAATTCTAGTGGGCAGGAGAAAGTAAAGCCTGAGGTTACGTTGAATAGATTTTATAGATCCAATCCTTACTTTCTATCTATAAAAGGTAACAGTATTACTGTTATCCACTTGAGTGTCTACCTGATCTGATCAATCTCTTTGGGATATGATTAATGCTGCTCACTGCTTATGAAGCTAGCATCCTTATTTAAAGTGAAAGAAGATTGATTATTTATATATATGAAGATCGACCACAAAGCGCCTTTAATTTGGCGCCCTTTTACTAGGTTAATTATTTATATTCTCATTATTATTTTCCATAAATCTTGAGTAGCTTATGAGACTGCAAACAGATCTATTCTTGCCTTCTTTTAGCTTATACTATTCTGTGAATGCATTCAAGTCACACCTACTTTTAATTGACTTGTCATAATATAATCTTTTCCCTTGGTCATTCGTTAGTTGTTCAGTTTTTATATATTTTTATATTCTTTCATTATTTCACTCAACTATCCCAGAATTAAGCAGCGTTAATACAGTGTACGTAGCATTTAGAGTCATTTTATTATAAGAAATGAATTTTAATTTTGGCAGGACAAGTTGTAAGTCCGATCCATCATAAATCCCTAAAAAGACCTTTCCATTTTTTGCTTAAATTAGACATGATATTGGTCAAACACAGAATTCATTAAAGGTGGAAAGAAAATTATTTGTAGTGTGATGGATATAACACACCATGTATGCAAAATAAATAAATTAATTGTACTAGTATAGTTGTTACCTTTGACACCATATATACTTGGCACAAATGACGCAGGACCAAAGGCTTTTCTTCTCCTTTAGTGTTCTCAGCTCCATCCTAACTTTGCAAGGAATGAATTGAAGCTAAGGCCATATTCATTTGTTTAGAGCTTCTAATCCCCAGCCCTCTGTTCTCTACTTCTCTTTAGGTTGTGTGACCATATTCCACCCCACAGGAAAGCTCTAATTTTCTTATGAATTTGATCACACACGCCCAGTAAGAAGAGGTACACGGTCTGCATCATATAATACGGGATCGGATTTAATCAACACTTGTCTGCCTGCAAGTCTAAGGAACTTCATCTTCCACCCCTCGATCAAGTCGATCTGTGATTTATTTTAAAAACAAATTTAAAAAAAAAAAAACATTAATTTCTTATATGTTGAAATATTTTGCACTTAGGGTCCGTTTGTAAAGCAAAAAAATGACTTCTAAAAAATGAGTCATTTTTCAAAAAACATTTTCCTTTCTGGTGTTTGGCTACGTAACAGAAAATTGTGTTTGTGTATTTGGTTCATTTTTCAAAAAATAGGTAGGAAAATGACAAAATCAAAAAAAATAATAATAATAAAAACCACAAACATCAATGGAATATCAAAAACATAATACAATTACCTAGAATACAAGTGCAAATTCAAATAATCAAAGCTCAGAAATTTCAGCTCAAACAAATGGAAAAAAAATTATAAATTTTTATAGGATAAACAATGAGTGAAAAGAAAAGAAAGCATTCTTTGTACTAAAGGATAAACAATGAGTTTTCTATTAAAAAAAAAAAAAAAACATATTCTCTGTACTCAAAGAAACGGACCAGCAGCCTCGTCTCCCTCTCCGGAGAGGGTGGTGGACAGCAGATTCGGCGGTGAAACTACAACCCTTGAACCTTCGTCTCCTTTCTTTTTTTTCGACCCGTAGCGATGGCGGTGACCGGACGCAGTGGCTGAGCAAAGCAACGGCGGACCTGGGTTTCTTCCTTCGTCTTCCTGTAGCGGCGCGCAAATCGACGGCAGAAGTGGCTGGGTAGAGCAGCGGCGGATCTGGGTTTCTTCTTCCGTCTTCGTCAGCAGCGACGGGGAGATTGACGGCGACGATGGGATGAACTTCCAACAGTGGCGATGGTCTCCGGTGGTGCAGCTTCCCTTTCTGCGTTTGGTGTTAATGGAGGCTGAGCTTCATCTGATGGAGAACCAACGAATGGAAAATGACTTTCCCAAAAGGGGAATTCATTTTCCGGAAAATAGGTGTGATTTGCAATTGACCACAAGTTATTTTCTATTGACTTCCATTTTCCTTGCCTAGCGGCCCTAGCCAAACACCAGAAACCCGGAAAAATGATCATTTTTCGGGTTTCCAAATACACCCTTAGGAGAATTTGGATCGGATCTCTCAAGTGCCCCTACCACAGTTGAGACATAAAAGCCATCCCTTTCTGAACTCATCTCATCATCATCATCATCACCAATTCCTCATAAGAAAACACAAAATATCAAATGGGTTCACAAAACTTACCTGGTAGGGTTCAAGCATGTCGAATTCAAGAACCACATCATCCAATTTCCCTTCAAAAATCACACACACAACATAAATATCAGATAAAGATTGGATCTTTATATCAGTGAATTGCTTGGATGACAGAAATGAAGGCGGCATCCCATCTCTATCTGGTACAGACAAGGAGATGATGGTGCAGCCATAGTTTGAAACCATAACTTGGATTGCGCCATTGTTGAGTTCAAAGATATTTGCTTCCGCCATTGTTCTAGAATCTAGAAAATTCTCGAGATACAGATTACAGAGTATAAACGTTAGACTTTAGGAGTGAATAAAATAGGTTTGGGAAGAAGAAGAATAAAATAGGTTTGATAGGAAAATTGTAAACCAACATGGTTGGTGTGGTGGTTCAACACCTCGTCCCTTAAGCATGAGGTTGGAGGTTTGATCCGCACCCATGTGAATGGAGCAAACCATTTGGCCAGTCCCCTACCACGACAGTAGGGACCGGAGATTAGTCTTTTGGTGTTTAAAAGCTGCAGGCTTCTATATGTTGTGTTTTCACTCAGGATATCTCCATGTTAAAGTAGCATGCTCCTGCAACATGGAACCTGATCTGGTTTTATGCACAGAGTAATATTGGTTTTTGTGTTACCTTTATTTATCAAATTACACACACACATAATGGTTTTTGCCACTCTCTTTATATAGTTTTTGATAGTAGAGGTGATATTCGTTTTTGGGAGGTTGGAAATGCTCATTGTGCTTACTTTGACCTTTCCTTTTGTCATCCTAGCAAGCCATGTTCTGATGTGGAGGTTTTGGTGACACTTGAAATTCATGCTAACCATGCATTCTAGTCTAGATATATAAAAGTATAACAGTTGCTTGCCTAGCTCCTGTACAGGGACAAGCAAAGTACAAACATCTACTGTAATATAATAAAAAACTTTCATGGTCACTATCTTTGCATTGTTGGCATATTTATGCCGAAATGTTACCATGGGTGATAAAATTGCTGTAGCATGGTCCATATTAGTAGACCCATGGCAACTGGCCACTGGTCACCACTTAGTTAATTATTCAGTCACCCCCCCCCCCCCCCCCCAGCTAGGTTGTTGATCTATTCATCTATTTATAGAAAAGTCATGCAGAACTTTCCCCCTTAATGTTTTTGGTTAACAAGTTCCAGTTGAATTTAAAGTCCGATCGAGGTAATTTGTGTTAGATACTTTAGTTGCATTCACACCATAGCAGATCGAGTTTCAACTTTCAAGGACACCATTCATACCATATATGCATCTACTATACGCCGTGAAACATGGAGAGCCAGAGAAGAAACCTAGTATATATAGTATTTTAACATCAACGTGAATGGAATTGAATAATAATCTTCCCAAGATGCCACGTACCTGAAACATCCACACCACCCAGAAAACGCATGCAGTCGGCAAATACAAAACTCTCCTTCAACCACCAAGATATCCCATGCCCTTCTGCTCAGCCAAATTAACTTCTCAATCTCAAAAGAATACACGCCCAGTGGGACTCGAACCCACAATCGCTTGATTAGAAGTCAAGCGCCTTATCCATTAGGCCATGGGCGCTTGATGATTTAGGTTTGAATTGAAACTATATGTTTATGGTATGAATTAAAGCAGAGCCTATTGAAGCAAATCTTAAGTAGTAATGATATTTATGATGATAAGATTTTGAAAATTGAGGAAGCACGCACTTTGCAATATGCAGGAGGAATTTTGCGACATTTATTCTCAACGTGGAATTAGTTAGATAATCATTTGATAAAAAGTAATTTTGATAATTTTACATATATTGCACAAAGTTTTTTTTTTTTTTTTTGGATCATAGGGAAGGGAACACCCGGGTTTATATTGCACAAAGTTGGTTATTAAATTACCTGCTGGAAAGTGGAAATGTTGTTATAATTATTATATATGGCACCATCATACTGCATATTCAATTTCCCACAATCGCACATACTTATATATCATACCATCATTACCATGCATCCAATCGATTAAGTTAAAATTTAAATAGTTTAAGTAATAAATTGACTTGAATTTAAATATTCTAATATATACTTGTTTAAGTAATAAATTGAGTTGAATTTAAATATTCTAATATATACTTGTTTAAGTAATAAATTGAGTTGAATTAAAATATTCTAATATATACTTGTTTCAAAAAGGTGAAACTTCAACTCTAAGGGTCTCTTATATCCTACCATTGAGTTGAATTTTTTATTTTTATTTTTGAATACTACTAACTCTGTTACAATGTAGTATCTGTTAATAACTACTTTTATTGAGTTGAATTTAAATATTCTAATACTTGATTTAAGTGGTTCATGAGTTTAATAAATTGAGTTTTTATATTTTTTATAGGAAAAATTGCGCATTTTGTCTATAAATTATATAATAATTGTAACATTTGTTCTTAATTGTTAGTCATGTTCGTCGATCACTTTTCGTTCTTAAGTTATCATTAGCGTTGCACTATTTGTTCTGTTACTAACAAAAGTTGTAACTTTAGTATTGCTTATAGACGAAAAGTGAGTACAAAAACTTAATACGGAGTAAAATGATGAAAAGTGTAACGTTAATAATAGCTTAGGGGTGAAAAATAAGCACGACCAATACTTGACGAATTCTACCGTTACCCTATAAGTTAGGGATGAAAAATGCAATTTTTCATTTTAATATATAATGGGGATGTTTAGTAATTTTGGTTGATAATCCATTTTGTCCTTTAGGGTCAGTTTGGAAAGCAGAAAAATGACTTCTGGAAAATGACTTTTGGAAAATGAGTCATTTTCCAGAAGTCATTTTTCTTTCCTGTGTTTGGCTGCAGAATGGAAAACTGTCTTTTGGTGTTTGGCTCATTTTTCGGAAATGATGTAGAATTGTATAATTAAACATTTTATATAATTAATTATTTTGTTTAAAATATATAAAATTTACAATAATATTATAAATAATAATATTTATTTTTAAAATCAAATAATATTATTTATTTAAAAAAAAAAAACAAACAAACATAATATTCAAAGGATGAAAAAGCCAATGAAGATGAAGAAAGTCAACTGCTCTTAAAGTGAAGAAATGAAGAAGTCAACATCTAGAAAATGACTTCCCTTTTTTTAAAGGGGAAGTTGTTTTCCTTAAAAATAGGCTCATTTTCCATTGACCAGTACCTCATTTTCCGTTGACTTCACATTTTCCTTCTTTCCAAACATTGGAAACCCGGAAAATGATTTCCAGAAATCATTTTTAGGGTTTCCAAACACACCCTTAATTAATTTGGACAAGTCCAACCATCCAGAAAAATGTATTTAGTTAAATAGAGTTTTTGAAACTATTGTTTAGTTAAATAGTATTCTGGAGCAGCGTTTTGCTCCAAAACCCAGTAGAAATCTAAAACGTTAATTTGAGTAACGTTTTAAAAAAATTTCAACCTCTTAAATTGCCTTGCAATAGGTTCCCCTAGACCTGTGACAAGCAACGAGTCTGGTAGTAGATCTTACTGGTGAAGTCTATATATATATGACGGTGAGTAGAATGTCGTTGTACTCCGAAAACATGCATAGTGATCAGTTTGGAACAACTAATATTAACGGGATACATTGATAAATTAGTAGGTAGTTGAGTCGGCAAATTATAGTTAAAGACCGGAGTGCAAGAAAATTATGATCGAAATCATGCATCTCAGACGACAAACCCTAGTTAGCTAAGCTAGGTACGTAGAGTATTAGATAGTAGTTAAGGTAGGAGCATGCAATGTTTTATAAATGTTAATGATCGGAAGTACCAAGCTAGGTAATTAATTAATTAAGATAATAATTAAGCAAGGTTGCAGGCAATAGATGTATATGGCTAGGAAAAACAGCAATATAATTTTATTTTTTTTGAAAATACAACAATATAATATAATTTAATTTGCTACATTATTATATTATATTGTTTGGTGCAAATTAGGCTGCATCGGCTGCACACGGAATGTCAAAGGCATCTCTGCGGATTGGTAACCCCTAATAACCACCATTTCGATCTGCGCCCATCTCCTTCTGTTGCTGTACGTGCGTTAGCAATACCAAATTAACAAGTACCATTTTTATTATATTCATTAATTAATAATTAATGATATAAGAATTACTCGCTCAGTCCCTCGCCAATCAATTCATTTAATTTGTAGAAAATAATATATATAAGTTTAATTAATATAATTGATTTCCCTTTCAAATAATAATGAGACACCATACATAAGATGTCTATGATCATATTCAAAATATTTATATGCAAAGATTTTGATTTCGTCCTATCTAGAAGGAAATTATGAAAGATGTTTCACTTTTCAATAGTACAGTTTGATATATATAATCAACATATCCTTGTATTTTTTATTTTTGGTAAGAGATCAGAACTAGATATAACAACACTAAAAAAGTCATTGTAACAACATGTTTGGCTTACATTCTAGGCTCACTAGAGGTACTATTATTATTATTATTATTATTATTATTATTATTATTATTATTATTATTATTATTATTATCAATGCATGTTAATTTTGTTATTTGAATGTTTATTGTATTTTTATTCCTTAATCCTATCAAACATTAATACATTATAATACAATTATTATTGAATTTATTAATTTTATAAACCAAAAAATGAGACATATTCTATAATTTCTATTCCATTCATATTTCATTTATTTTCTTAAAATTTATTCACCAAACATAATGTAATAAATTTGGGTTGAGAATTTCAAGGTAATAGCCAGCCTAGTTGGTTTGCAAATCAGAATTGCAGTTGATGAGCACTTGCAAATATCTCTAAGCTAGCCCCTCAATCTCTTCATTAATTTGTCCAATGTACACGTACATTTACTTTACCCATCCATCTAGCTACTACTATCTATCTGCTTCCATTCTCATCTATAGCTCCTACATACATATATACTTTGTCCAATGGACTACTTAATCAAATGCAAGTAGATGTGATATCAATAATTTTTTAGGTAACACTTGTGTGAGCCTGTCTCACGGGTCTTGATCAATTCGTGAGACAGGTCAGATCTTTGACTAATGGACCAATTTATTTATTAGTTAGTCGGATATTTGACCTCATCAATCAACGATTCAACCCGTCTCACGGATTGAAACCCATGAGGCGGCCTCACGCAAGTTTTTACCTAATTTTTTAAAAATTATTTGTAGAGTTATGCTGCATACCTGTTCTCTCATCATCTTGACTATTTCAAACTGTTAAAATCATGAAAAAAAAAATAAATATTAAATTATATTATGATTTATTGGACTAATTTAACACACACACACACACACACACACACACACATATATATATATATATATATATATATATATATATATATATATAATTTTCCAGTGCAGGTAAAGGTTTTTCGTGCAGTTGTGCGATTTTAACGTGCGTGAGTTTTGTACTTCAGGTGTGTGAGTTTTGTGCTTAAGGTGCGTGTATTTATGCTTAATGTGAGTTATTGTTGAAACTTAAGTGCGTGAGTTTATTTTGTGCTTAACATGCGTGAGTTTTGTGCTTAACATGTGGTGGGGGTTTGTGCTTAATGTGAGCAATTGTTGAAACTTAAAAGACGAGTGTGTTTTGTGCTTAAGATGCGTGTGTTTTGTGCTTAAGGTGCATGAAGCTTTTGTGCTTAACATGCGTGAGTTTGTGCTTACCGTGCGTAAAATTATTTCTTAAGGTGTTTTGTTTGTGTGCTTAATGAGCATGTAATATACGTCCATCTGCACAACCGCACAGAAAATCTTTCCCGCGCCTGATCCCTTCCCTATATATCTTGTCATAACTTGCCTGTTTGTTTCGGATAGAGGTGAGACCACTTTCTAGAGCATCTTCTAAAACCCTGAGGTCCTTGTAGTTCAATGAATTTATATCTTCTCCTTTAAGGTGCCTGAACACACACACACACATCAATGCTTACACTTCAATAAAGTATATATATATAAGAGAGGCGGAGATGGAAGAATATAATGAAGAGAACCCAATTTAGAACTTAGTAACTTACACTTCAATACAATATAGTGGACCATATATACAAATATATTTACCTGAGCTCAATATGCATGCTGTCATTCTCTTTCTTCATCCTATCAATTTCATTGTTCAAGTTCTGTAGAATTTCTCATTTCACTTTCAGAGTTAGTAGCATTCAAATACATACATATATATATATATATATATATATATATATATATATATATATATATATATAGGGTCAGGTCTTCCTGTGCAGTCAGCGACATATATTATTAGGTATGTCAAAATGCACCACACATTGTTCGTAAATACACCATTATGTGTGGTGTATTTTTTGACATTTTATTCTGGTGTATTTTCGAACACTGTATGGTGCATTTATACATACCTAATGGTGTATGCGGCACTGACCGCACGGGAAGACATGACCTCATAGGAACCAAAATATATATATATATATATATATATATATATATATATATATAACGGTAATTATTCAAATCACACAAAACAAAGGGAGTTATTATATTGCAGGATTTTTTTTGGGATATGTATGCACTTATGCAGATCTGTCTATGACCAAATGATCCAGATATGCTGAAAGAATAATATCTCATATCTCATGTGGGATTTCATTCTTTGAAAAGCCAAAAAGAGTAATTAATATAGAGTAATATATTACTGAAGATTAAGACAGAAAATTAAGATGAGACATCTAGAGAGAGAGGGGAGAGCTACACACACACACACACATATATATATATCCTGCCTAGCTATTTGTAGATCTAATCCTAGATTTCATGTTTCAGGTCAGCAGACATATTTTTGATAAAAGCCATGTCTTCAATTCTTCCCCATGGAAAAGCCAGAAAACAGTGTTCTGGAATAGCCAGACACAAGGGTGTTTCACATTTCCATTCCACACAGTACAATTAATTATATTAAACACAAGAATGAAGAGAATTGAGAAATTGATGTATGCATATATTAATGTAGAAATTAAAGAAGGTAGGGAGAAATGAGAGATAGATGGGGATTTAACCTCATGCTTAGCATCCCACAGCTTCTTTCCAGATGCCTTCTGGTAACCATCCAGCATATTAACTAACCTATCAACATAAATATACATATTTATTTATTATTTAGTATTGTTCTTCATGTACTGTAGAAACTGACCAAGAGATATACATATATAGATAAATCCAAAAAAAAACATAGGATGAAGAAGAGCGTACTCGGTGGAAGGGCTACAATAGTGATGCATCTTCCCAGAGCTGGCATAGACGATGAGTGAAACCTTAGCATCACAGAGAACACTGATTTCCTTTGCTTTCTTGATGATGCCATTTCTTCTCTTGGAAAATGTAACCTGCCTATTACTTGAGTTCTCTATTCTCTTTATCTCTATTTTACCCCTCCCCATTCTATATACTATATATGTAGCTAGCTAGCTGCCTGCTTAGCTTGATTTAATTTGAACTATACTATCTAGTAGTTTGTGTTCTGTTCTTCTGATCCTATAATATATAAACATAAAAAGATGAATGGAATAAAGGGGCAGGAAGCTAAGAAGGTGAAATAAATTAAAGAAGATGAAGAAAGTAATTAATGGCGAGTTTCTACTTTCTATTATGGGTTTGATGGACAATCAACTTTTGAAGTTCACAGTAAAGAAGGGTTTAATTTATGTAAGATCAGAGCATGCATTTCACAACCCCAACGTAACCCAACTGTAAACTCCTTTAATAACTTCAACTATTTTCAAATTATATTACTTTCACCGTTTACAAGCTATTATATAAAAGTATAATTTACTAAGTTTGCATTTTTAAATAATAATTGTGAATTTTTTCTTTTAAAAAAAATAACATTTGTCTCTTTCTTTTCCTTAGTGGTTTGCACTTTTTATCCTTTGGTATCTATACTTTCTCGTAAGGACTATGCCATTTTTAAAATTACTTGTAAACTGTAACGTAACACTATAAATGAATGCGTGTACGTGATTATGCTAAGTAAAATTTCAATTATATAATATATATGCTCGATCCAAATAGAATAAAGTTGTGTCAATCTTATGGGAAAAATTCTATACTTCATGCAAATGTATACTTTTTATGTTACATTCAAGATAATTATAATTAAATATTCACCACTCTCATCCCTTAAGAGATGTGAGATAATTCAAACTCCCTCCCATATAGAAAAATCAATCTGGCCAGAACTTTGTATATATATCATGACCGAACCAGGGTCTACATAGCTGATGGGGGTTATACTCTGGTTATTCGGGTCATCTAGCCCGGTCAGCCTATCTGCTCGATCAGCCCCACGGGAAGTCTTTCCCTAGTCGCCAGACCGTCTTCTGGAGGCAGAGTGTTTTGAGGTCCTTGTGCCCCTTAGACCGGTGACCGGGAGGAACGGCCGGGTGGAGCTAGGCTCTGTTACCGTCAGGAGGAGGGCGCCACGTGTACGACTACATGCTTGCCTCTATGGGGTCCGGTGCATGCACGCCACGTGCTACCGTCAGGAGGAGTGCGCCACGTGTACGACTACATGCTCGCCTCCACGGGGTCCGGTGCATGCACACCACGTGCTCATCATGCCGGAAGACCGGGTGCTGCTCCCCATGTCTCTTATAAATACCGCATTAAATGCTGGAGAGAGGAATTTTGGATTGATCTAGACTCTGTACTTTATTAGGTCCCGGTCATTATCTACGATCAGATCTCTGACTTTACTGTTGAAGTACAGTTATTTTATACACATCAATAGCATTATGGACCTTGGATCGAAATGACGAGATACAAAATTCATACTCGTAAGGTACAAAGTTTTATAACACAAAACACAAAAAATCACACACAAGAGACATGTGCATGTTATATATTTACTTATTTTTCAAATATGATTTAGATACATAATTTGTGTTCATAGGCACGAAATTTCACAATACAAAACACATAAATTCATAACATAAGATGCAATTAGTAATTTGTTTCAGATACAAAATTCATACTCTTAAAATACATAATTTTATAATACAATACACAAAAATGCACAACATATATACACATACACTAGGATCCACAATACACTGTAAACCCTAGTTCATGGTATAATTAAGAATTAAAACACCTTGTGGTCTAACAAAACTCACCAAATACAATTAATAAAGCTTCAATTATCATTACAATATAGCACGTAATACTGATAATTTGGTGGATGACTATATTGATGTCCCTAGCATGAAGAAGTTTTTGGTCTTTAAACTTTAGAGTTTAGTGAATACTAAGTTAATTATTTGATCAACTTGATTGTAATTGTAATTAAGTGGCAAATGTGATCTCTTTGTGGGGGAGAATTTGGGATAACTCGAGTTTGATTCTTTTTAGACCAATTTCTGTATCTCTCGAAGCGAATTGGGTGGACCTGGACCGTTAAACGGATAGAAAAAAACCTGGACCATAGTGTGGTTTACACAAAAAAAAAAAAAAAAAAAAAAAAAAAAAAACTTGATTGTAATTGTCTTTAATAAATACGCACTTTAATTATCCATAATTTGTAGCGCGCTTTTGGAATAAATAAGCGAATCAAAATATATATTCCCTATATTCCTGGTCGGCCTGTCACCAGTGGAATTCGTTTTCTTTAGTACGTTAAAGTTCATACGGAATTGAATGTCATATCCATTATATTTTCTATCCATTTTCAAAGAAATTTGTTTTAAGGAAACTAGTATTTGCACCCGTGCGATGCACGGAATGAATTTGTTGTAATACATTAAGAATATATGAATCGATATATAATTATTTAAATTAGAACATCAAATATTATATAGTGCAATTAAAGATATGATTTGAATCGTTTATATATTTTGATGTTATCATTGCTTGAATTTGTGCAAATAATTGCTCAAATTAATAGCTAATGTCTAGATGTACGCATGCGGTCCTATAATTTTGAAGATTTTATTTATCATTGTTTAGTATTTTCATACATTAGGCAAATGAGCTCGTTCTCTAACAACTCAGTTATAGAAATGAATTGCTATCCTTATTCATTTGTATGGAAGCTATATTTTTTTGTCTAGATATATAGCAATTTTTTCATTTTAGAAAAAAAAAATTTAATATCACCGATTATATTTACACATTATTGAAACCTGACAACATAGGTAGTGACAACACAATCTTGTTCATCTTCGTCTAGAGCTAACATCTTCTCCATCAGGACGGGTTACTTGGGTGGAAATATATAATGGTAGAATATCACTCAATTAGTTATCCTTTTATATTTTCAGTCAATTCGTAATATCAGATTCATTTTTAGCCAATTATTCTTTTTTATTTTCAGTCAATTAGTCAATTAGAATATCAAATGCAGTTATATTTTTACATAACTTTGGTTCCATTTTTAATTGATGATGTAGATATTATTATTGAAATATTTCCATTCCATATTTACCTTTACTATTGTTTAAAATATGCATTTACTATTGATAATGTAGAATATTATTATTGGAATATTTTCCTCCAATTTTTAATTTCCATTCTATTTTTAATTAAAATGCAATGTTCTGACCATTTTTTTAGTCAATTATAGATCATTTTTTATTTGCAGTCAATTATTAATATTCATTTCCTTTTATATTTTTAATCAATTAGTTATATTAGATTCATTTTCAGTCAATTATTCTTTTTTATTTCCAATCAATTAGTCAATTAGAATATAGATGCAGTTATACTTTTACCTAATTTCGTCCCATTTAATTTGATGATGTAGAATATTATTAATGAAATATTTTTTCGTTCCATTTTTAATTTATCTTTACTATTTTTTAAAATATGTCTTTACTATTTGGTGATGTAAAATATTATTATTGAAATATTTCCTTTCCATTTTTAATTTTTTGGGTAAACCCAGAGTTTCCGCCGTCGGACACAGTGACTAATCCCCTCGCTAAATTATAAGCGAACCTCTTTTGGGTAGGACAGCTGACTTAGAGATTTAAGGCTGCTCCATTCCCAAATCCAAGGATCGAACGCGTGACCTTTGGTTAAGGATGGATGAGTCCTTTACACTCAACCACACCCTCCAAGTTACTTGCCAACATTGATGGGCAAGCAATTATGTTTGTAAGGCTCCTCTTTCCAAACATTTTCAATGTGAGATCAAAATGATCCCACATCATTTACAAAGGGAGCCCGTGACTCCCTTTTGTCTTCTTCTTTTTTTTTTTTTTTAAATTAATTTTATTTGTATATCGTTTTGTTTGAATTATTATTATTATTATTATTATTATTATTATTATTATTATTATTTGATTATTGACAAATTCGCCATTTTAACAATTTATCTTTAGTCAAAACACCAAAAATATTATTCAATAACTAAGTAATTTGCTCCAAACTGCTAAAAACTAAAACAACACATACATTTTGGGTTAATCTTTCCTAACCCCCACTAATAATTAATAAATAATAAATAATAAATAAATAAAACTCAAATAAGAAGACAAAGCTAAGGTTTTTTAAATAATAACATTATAACTTCTCAATACTCACCACATCGATATTCAAACAATTATGTTTGTACCTCTTATATAGAGGAGTTCAAGAGCTCATCTTTTCAAACATTTTTAATTTGGGATGAAAATGAACCCACATCATTTACAACGGGAGCCTGTGGCTCCCCTTTGTCTTTTTTTTTTTTTTTTTTTTTGTTAATTTTAATTTTATTTTGTATATAGTTTTGTTTGGATTATTATTATTATGAACCCACATCATTTACAAAGGGAGCCACCCTTTGTCTTTGTCTTTTTTTTTTCTTTTTTTTTGTGTTAATTTTAATCTTATTTTGTATATAATTTTGTTTGGATTATTATTATTATTGTTGTTGTTGTTTTGTTGTAATTTGATTATTTAGAAAATTCACCAAAATTTTAAGAAATTCATCTGTTTAATATTTTATATTTAATCAAAAAACCAAAAAATATTATTTAATAACTTAGAAATTTACTCCAAACTGCTAAAAACTAAAACAACACATACATTTTGGGTTAATCTCAAGGTTGCAAAAATCGCTAGGCGCCTGGGGACCGCCTAGGGCGCCTAGAGCGCCTAGGTGGGTGCCTAGAGCGATTAATCGGCGCCTAGGTGGCCGACCGCCTAGCGCCTAGGCGCGATTTTTGCAACAGTGGTTAATCTTTTCAAACCCACACTAATAATAAATAAATAATTAATTAATTAATAAAAACTAAAATAAGAAGACAACGCTAAAGCTTCTTAAATAAGAACCTTTTGACTTCTCAATACTTGCCCACATTGATGTGCAAGTAATTATGTTTGTAAGAGGAGTTTTGCTCCACTTATATAGATGAGCTATCTCTTTCCAAACATTTTCAATGTGTGATCAAAATGATCTCATATCATTTACAAAAGGAGTCTGTGACTCCTTTTTTTTTTTTTAATTTTATTTTGTATATAGTTTTGTTTGG